TATTTTCTGGACTCTGAGCCTGTATCAGGATTGTCGAAGCCAAAGACATGTTTGTCAATGCACAAAGCAAAATTTCAGGCTTCCTGTGTAATGAACTCTGGATGTGATATATGTATACTGAGTGCCCTGCTGTGACTAAGAGCTATCTAAAGAAGAGAAAAATATAGCGACCTCCTGAAGCATGTATAAATTGCTTTCTTAGACCCTATAAAATTTTAGCTAGCACCAAACATAGAACTTCATTCATCGTCCTACAAGTGAGGACTGCCAAGGGAAGCCAGCTCTTCCTGAGCAGAAAGTGGCAGCACTCCAGGATTGGCAGAAATCAAATGAATCATTTCCTGCTTTTAGTTTTAGATAAATAATCAGAAAAGATTGTCTAGATTATGATCCAAAAGACATTTTTCATGGCACTGGGAACCCAGAATCCTTACGCGTTTCGTGTGGAGTCACCCTATTTCTAATTACTTTATTGTGCAGGAGAGAAGAGATGGTAAATAAATCCACAAAATCCAAGCTAAATTTTCAATACAGACAAGATTTAGGAAACTTAGTGTGGTGAGGATATTAAGCATGTCTTTTTACTTTTCATAATCTGATGCTTTAGCATCTGAGCCTTGCTAACCCACGGGGCATTCTGTCTCCTGGGGTTGTCTGGTTCCTAGAGAGAGCTAACAACTTGCTTGGGGGCATGCTTTTCATATGCAGATCAACCAGTGCAGTTCCCACAGTGCCAACTATCTCCTCTATCTTCGGTTCTCACTCACCACCTGCCCTAATACCGCGAGGTCAGGGAACAGAAAGCTAGGGAGAGACCTTTTCCTGCAGTTCCCACTGCAATCATGCAAATCAGCCAACACCGAGGATGATTAGCCTGCCTCTGCCATTCCTGCCTGTGGAAACCACAGGAAGGTTCTTGCCCATGCTTGTCCAGCCCCATTGCCTCTTGAGTACCCTGGCGCTTGCTGGTGTAGTCCCTCTGCCGTGCCATGGGAATGGCCTTTCTTCTTGAGAATAGTAAATACGCCTGTGCCCTCAGTCACAGCTGTCTCCTGATCTGTTGGCCCTTACCATGCTGCATTTCTCCAGATGGCTCCTAACATTTCTTCAAATGCTCAGATTCTCAGCATATTCCTTTAGCCGGCAAGAGGCTATTTATTATACACATTTCCAAATGATGTGATTTCTTTTCACAAAACATTTACGTAGTATTTGATATCTGAAGGACACTGGGATAGGCATTCAGGACACAAAGGTAGATGAGAAAATTTAGTGTTTCTAAATGCAAAATACCACTCTCACATCACTGGTGCTATGCTGAGACCAGGAAATATGCCTTCTGACTCTCTTGAGAAGGCTGCTGTGTCCCCAAGGGCACTGAGATGTGCTCTTACTGAAAGACTGAACATAAACTCGGAAAACAAACAAAAAAATAGCATGAAATACACAGACTAGATACAGTGAAATGTTTCCCATACTGCCTTCCTATTGCATGGCAGCTGACATTCATAACTTCTGTACTTCAGCGAGGGAACCAAAGCTTACCTGGATTTGCATATTGTTCAAGCTCTTTCTAAACTTGGAAATTTAGCTCTTGGAAGTTCTGTAATTATTGATCTTCACAAGGACACTTATTGCTTAAATACTCCAGGAGGCTGCTTGAGGAATCCTTTTCACAGAATAGTATTTTCTGCCCTCCCCCTGAAACTGTAGTCATAGAAGTGTTTTATGCTATCTCAACACTTTTGGTGAAAGAGATCTTTTGAGATTTTTTGTTATTTAATCTTTTGGGGAGAAGAGGACAAATTCCATTCCGAATTCCAGTTTTCATAATCTCCGTCCATTACCTTCATCTCCTCCAGATTTTATATTTTCTTTATGTTCTGTGGCCTCCTTACTGGCATTAGCCACAATTAACATTTTCTACTGCTGTCTCTTTGGGATTTTGCCGCCCTCTCTTCAGGTACACTTTCCTATGTTTGCAGCAGTGATAATATTTTCAAAAAATATTAAAACATGCTATTTTTCCTTCCCCATAAACTACGTTGCCTAGCAGTTCCCTCTGCTCCATGAATCAATGCCATTCATTGCTTTTGGGAGATTGTGGCTACCAACCAGAACAAAGAATTCATTGCTCAATTTTGAGTTTCCTGCTGGATTTTAATTTTAAGTACATAAAGAGATAACAGTCTTGACAGCCTACTTTTCATGGGGGGAGATTTGTTTTCTTTACTTTAAATTCCCCATACTTCCCTTTACATATAAAGAAAAACAAGCCTAAGTATCTGAGCTATATTTACCTTTAGCCATAGTGCAGAGAAAATTTGGGAGTTTATTTCAAACAGGATGGAAAAACCATGCTGGGGTTTCGAGGCAGCCAGAAGCTGAGGATGAAGATGCTGCCCGGGGCTTCTGGAGTGGCGTGGGCTCTGACTCCCTGCAATTCCATTCAGTTTGGGGAATGTGTGAACACCTCTCTCATAGGTAGAGAAAGGAGCTGTGAAGGGATACAGCTTGGCATGATTTCTTTTTAAAATTCTAGAAAGAGAATAACTGAGGGTCCAAAATGCACAGAAGTAGAAAGCAGTTGAGGTAAACTGGCTTTGGCTGGGGCCGAAAAGGGGCTTTTCAGTGGCATCTACAATTTTCCTTGAAGAAGCCAGGAGACGTCGGAGGAATCTACCAGTTCCAGGATGACCTGTGGGGGCAGGAAAGGTAGCCAGAAGTACAAAACTTGAACCGCTCAAGGAGATTGGTGTGGATCTCTGTGGAAGAGATTTTAGAACAGAACAGAACCTAGGTTCTGAATGAAATACCCTTAAGGCTGAGGTTAGGAGGAGCTAGCAAAGAACACACAGCCCAGACACTTTGTTCCCCTTTCTGTACTATCACGCATCTCCTCTGATGCCCAACTATGAGGATAGAAGCAGAAGGACTCTGTGGAGGACCACTAAAAAGTGAGCAATCATTTTGAGAAATTCAGTTAGTTTATGTTATATCCATTTTCTGATCTGTGATTGACATTAATTCTTACTTAAAAATTGTACTTTGTGAAAACAACAATGACTTTAAAACACACATGAAAGCACACACTTATACCTATAATTGTAAGGAGACATATGGCCCAACAACATCATTCTACAGGCAGGAAAGCTGTAGATGTCCCCTGTTGTAGGTCACAGAACTAGATAACTCAGAGCTGAGACCAGACTCAGACCTTGAGGTAGTTAGGAGGGGTCAGGGAACTTTCCAAGGTATCAGCCCCATCTGAAATACTGCACATGTTCATTTTAGCTATAGCAGACAGGTCTGCTATCATTCTCACAAGGTTTAATTCTTAGAACATTTCATAATATTTTACCCCAGTTTTATTTTTAAACAACTCTAGATGTTGCTAAAATGAAAATGCTTCATAATCGCAGTGATACTCAAAAGTGTGGTCCGTGTACTAGCAGACTCAGCATCACTTGAGAATGTGTTAGAAATGAAGATTGGTGGGTTCCACATCCAGAACTACTGAGTTAGAAGTCCGGTGGAAGGTTTCCAGAAATCGGTTTAAATAAGCTCTCTAGGAGATTCTGATGCACAGTGAAATTTAAAAATCCACTGGGTTGTCACATTATAATCATCAAAATTTCCAGAAAGTGATTGATTTGTTTGGGGACAAGTAAATAAAATTAATGTGCATGTTTTTAGAACAGAAGTATGACTGCCTGTTAAATCCAGTAGATTGAAGAGCACATCTGTTTCTATCAATTTCCTCTAAAGCACTGGAAACCACAAAAGAAATTGAAATAGGGAAACACCAGAATCTAAAGTGGAATGACTTATCTATGTTAAATACTGGGAAATATGACTTGGTGTAAGGAAGGAACGGGGCTAAGACATACACTGAGCAAGACATTTCCTTAGGAACTGGTGGCAAAGACCTGGAGAGGATTCAGCTCATGATCTACTTTTTAATGCACTAAGCTGTGAGGCTGTTTGTGGGGAAGGCAGCTGTATGATGCCATGCAACAGCCAGGAAGGAAATGCTAAAGTTAAGGAGCTCACAGTGTAGTAGGAAGGGAAAGACAAGAAACAAAACTTGTAGATAGAATAAAATATTAGAAAGTGAAAAATGTGGTAGCGGAAAATGAAGCAGGGAGGGGACACAGAGAGGACTGGGGAGAGGGTTATTCCAGTTTTACATGGGGTGATCAGTGACGTCTTAGACGGTATTATTAGACTAAAGAGTGGAAGGAGATGAAGGAATGAGCCTCACAGACATGTAGGCGATGAATGTACCAGTAAGAATGATGTCAATGGCCTGAGGTAGGAGGGCACCTGATGCATTGGAGATGCAGAAGAAAACTAATGTGGCCAGGTGGCATAAGAAAGGAAAAAATTACACAAAAGACAGAAGCAAGATGCTGTAGGGCTTGACGCTCACTGTAATGTCTAGATAGCAGGAGGCCCCACACAGGTTCCGAGCAGAGAGAAATATGCTGTAGCCACCAGTGGAGAAGAGATCGGAGAGATGGACTTGGGGGCCGTGGCAACGGTCCAAGTGAAAGAAGATGCTGTCGGAGGTGGAGGGAATAAGAAAGAGTTGGATTCTGGACATTCAATCTTACTGCTCAGTGCTGCTGTTCACATTGCAACATTTTCTCATGAATGCTCTTGAAAAATATCTTATTTTTTTAACTTGGCTTCATTTTTGGGATATAATACCTTTTCTACTGAAAGACAAACTAAACATGCTACAAGTCATAGTATTGCACATTACATATTCAGACAAAGATCTGTACCACAGCTTCCTTGCCCCAGCACTTCAGAGAATCTTATATGGAAAGTTAGAACTGCACTTCTGCTTTGGAGGAAGCAAACATGCTATATCAGTGAGACAGGTTGGAATCTTTTAGATACCTCGGTCTGCTAAATGCATCCTCCATTTGCAAATGTTTCTACTGCAATTTTATCCTTTATCATGCCCTGAAGATGTTGCTCTGTTCTGTAAGGGTATTTTCAGGAGCCTTCTGAGTGCAACACCAGCAAAATTTCACAAATCAGTGGAGAAAACAATTTCAAAAGAAGAGTGAGCTGTGGAAATTCTTTTGCAGCAGGACTCCTCTTTGTTGTCTGGAAATTCAGTAAGCTGTGCTTGCTTCTTACTGCATCTCCAGGTAAATTTATTTACTTTCAAGTTATGCTTTATTGCTTGTGTAATCATTTTATTGCTTTTATTTGAATGTTTTTCATTCACGTAGTTTTTGATCTTTAAAGATTCTTTGGGTATCTTGGGATGGGATGGAATGTTTCAGATCTGTTCCATTAAACTTAATGGGCACTTGAAGATTTAGGACAGGATTTATATATCAGTTTATCCAGGTTCCTAGGACAAAATACCATGGACTGGGGAGCTTATACCCCACAGAGATTTATTTCACACAGTTCTGGAGGCTGTGAAGTCCAAGATGAAGGAACTAGCTATCTGGTGTCTGCTTTCTGGTTCATAGATGACACTTTTTTCTATGTCCTCATGTCATGGAAGAGGTAAGAAATGTGTCTGGGATTCCCTTTGTGAAGGCACTGACCATATTTATGGGAGTTTCTCCTTCCTAATCTAATTGACCCTGAGTGGCCTAATATCCTTCTAATATCACACTGGGGAGGGATTTCAACATGAGTGGGGAGAAAACACATTCAAATCATAGCCATTTTAACATAGATGTTTAAAACTTTTGAAGAAGAATTGGTACATTTTGATGATGAAATCTATAGACTTGGAACTGATGTAAGAAAGACGTGTCAGTGCTGACTCCAGTGCTTGAAAATTGGAAGAATGGAATTGGCACTTAGATGAGAAGATTGTAAAAAGGTGATGCGAAGGGTAGAAGGGGTAAAATCAAGGCCCCAATTTTGGAAATGTTAGGGGGAAGAGAAGGAAAGAAAGAAAGGAAGAAGGAAAGGAAGGGGTTAAGCTGGATGTTAGTCTGCAGTTGGAGAGTCAGTCTAAGATGTAGATGTAAATATTGGTGCCATCAAATGTAGATTAAAGCTATGAGTCTGGATGTAAGTGGAGAGGAGAAAAGAGTCGTTGCAGAACTCCCAGTGCTCTCGTAAATGGAGACATTTGGAAGATAAAGAGTAACCAGCACGGGAGATCAAGGTGCAGCTCTTGGTGATGGACTTCACATGTGTGTGAAGTTCTGGAAGCCAGGAAATGGGACAGCTCCTGAAGATGGATGCTTCCACTGCTGCTAGTAAAGCAAGCAAGATGAGGGATGAGATTCAAGCGTGAGATCTAACCACTGGGAGAACTGTCCTGGTATATAATAGTAAAACACTTGAGGCTGAGTAATTTGTAAGCAATAAAGGTTTATTTAACTTATGGTTCTGGAGCCTGAGAGGTTCAAGAAGATGGTACCAGCATGTGCCTGGCATCTGGTGAGGGCATTTTTGATGCATCATAACCTGGGGTAAGGAATTAGGTGGTAAGACCGGGCAAGTATGCAAGGTTAGGTCTGTCTTCCTTTCCTTATGAAGCTACTAATTCCATGACCTAATCTAATCCTAATTACCTGCCAAAGATCTCCTCCAAATGTTCTACGATATGACTTTGGGTCAAGCTTCCAATAAGCGAACTTTGGGGAACACATTGAAACCACAGCAAAGACTGTAGCCACTCTTCAGTGACGGTTTTAGAAGCATAAGGATGAAAGTGGATTGAAATGGAGACTAGAGAGACAGACTCTACCAGTGGTGTGATTCCACTGATATGGGACCCCAGAAAAGATAAGCCTATAGACAGCACACTGGCTGCCAAGGTCGGGGGTGGGGAAGATGATTACAAGAAAATGTGATGGAGGGGCTGGAGATTTAGCTCAGCGGCATGGGTTTTAAGGTCATGAGTTTCCTGGTACCAGAAAAAAAAACAAACAAACAAAAAAAAAAGGAAATTGGATGGAATCTTCAGTTACAATAGTGATTATGATTGGGGCTCCATGTCAAAACTTACAACAACATACACAAAAGGAGTGAATTTTAGTTGTATGGGAATTACTAAGAGGTAGTGTGAGTGATAAAAAAGATAGAGGCAGGTGAGGACCCAGAACCGATGAGAATTTTTACTGATGTTAAGGCAGTTTGCTGTGAAGGTGAGCTGAGACATGAAGACACAGCTTGAGAGGGAAGTCATTACCATTGAAAAACCATGAAAGGAGGCTGTGGGGGAAACGATGGGCGCCGGAAATAACCTGGTAAAGAAGAAAGACTGATGCTGTGAGGAGGGGACAGGCAGCTGCTGAGCTGATGTCTCCGGTGGGCTGGGTAGAGGGCTGTGGTCCCGGGCTAAGAGGAGAGGGCTGCCTTAGAGGGGAAGGTGCACCGATCACTCATACCAACAAGTGCTGGATGTTGGGTAGGACTGGGGGCAGGGTGAGGAGCTGAAAAGAACTACAAGTTCTTTTCTGAGGATTTTTTTTTTTCCTCAATGAATCAGGAAGCCAGAGAGTGAGAAAGAAGAAAGTGTTGATGATTTGACCAAAAAAAAAGGAAGTAGGAAGTATTTGTTTTGCAGGATAGGAAACAGACGATAAAAGCATGCGGCGTGATTCCCTAGGACTTGGTGTGTAAGTTAAAATTAATTTTGTAAATCTGATTCTGTGGCTTTCTACAGCCAGAGAAAGGACTGACTTGGACTTAACCAGGGCTGAGGTTTTCCCAGGAGATAATAAGAGGTGGTGAAAATGGCAAAAATTTGAGTGTGACTTTGACAAGATGATTTTAATGATCGATCTGTCTCTCTAGTACCAACTGTTATATTTCCTCACTATGTACAAATTGTGTGCCCCAGAGTCCATACATTGAAGCCACAATTACCAAAGTGTTTATATTTGCAGATAGGCCTTTGGAGGTGATTAAAGTTAGATGAGGTCACGAGTGGGCACCTCAGGTGGACATTAACCCTGTGTATGACCCCTTATGGGGAGAGACACCAGAGATGTTTCTTGCACTGAGAAAAAGACTTGTGTACATACACACAGTGAGAAGCCAGGAAGACAAGTTTTACCAGAAGCCAAATCTGCTGGCACACTGATCTTGGATTTCCTTGTCTCCAGAAGTGTTGAGGAAATAAAAAAAGAAAAAAATCTCTTCTTTAAGCTACCCAGGCTATGATATTTTTTACGGCAGCCTGAGCTGAGATGTCACTCTTCTACTTACCAAACTCCTACTCATGAAATCTGAATTTTCTCATTCCTCTCTAAGAATGCTTCTAATTCTGTCATCTTCAGTTCCTTCAACTGAGTGCTTAAGAGTCACTTTTTTTATTAAGACTTCCACAGTCATCCGCTGAAATTTGCGAACCCTCCCTACATAACACCCTTCTGTTGCCTACCTCCACTACTTGCTCCATTTCCCCCCTAGCAGCCCAATACTATTCTGTATGCTTTATTTATTTAATTAATATTATCTTTCACTTCTCCTTACATTGCACGCCATGTGAGGACAGGGATTTTTGCTTTTAGCTCACTGCAATATCAATAATGTCTCCAACAGTGCTTGGGATGTAACAGACAGTCAATAAATATTTGTTGAGCCAATGAATGAAGTCAGGATATTTTCACTATTTGACATTATGTCTGAGTTAGCAATTGACATTCAAACATTCCAAACTCTTGTCAGTGCTTCTGTTGAATTTTATTTTCTCATCTTGGGTCCTGAAGTTTCCCTTGTCTCTGAGGCTAAGTCTTCTAGGTATGAATTGAGGTCCAGCCCACCTAACTTTTAAAGACTGTCTATTAAGACAGTATAATATGTGGTTCCTGTACTGAGGTCTCATTAGAGAGAGTATCCAGGGTTCAGTTGATTCCAATTCCATTTTAATCTGTGGTTCTTTCTTGCAATTCCAAACTTGAGGTTGACTTTGGAAACTCATCTTTCTTGAGTTCCCACAATATTTGCTCTAGACTAATGAAAAAATGAATGATCATAAATATAATTACTCTGAAGGCCTAAGGATATTTTTGGTACACTTGGAAGGAAGATGACTTTGAAAGAAAAGCAACTGACTCTAGAGTGCTTTAGGTATTTTCTCTCTTGGACTTAAGGGGGTACCAAAAATAAACAACACTTTTCATCCTCATTTGAGTTCTGAGTAAATGGAGAAATAAAAAATAAGTCCACATATGAGCCAAAGTATCATTTGTTGCTAAAAGCTAAGTTTAGTGTGAGGGCCAAAGGGCTTGTGCCCAGGACAAAGTAGATGCTACCACACTTCCCATAGCAGTGGAAAGAGCAAGTTTGGACCTCACCAGTAGGGATGGGAATCCCCCAACAACAGCAAGCCGCTGGCTTTTGACAGTGAGCCTGCTCTTCAGAGGGTAAATAAGGAAGGCCAGGACCACATTTAAGAAGCTCTGATGACATTTCTTTCCAGTGGCAGGAGTATTTCCCATATGCTTCTCTTCATGGAGGCCTCACTGTATAAGAACTTATGGGAATAGTGATTCAGTGAAGTCACTTTGTCAATGCTGGTATGGCCAACTGAGGTGTCTTCTATCTCTATAGTATCCCATCAATCCTCTTTGTGAAGTTCTATTGATTCTTCTCAATGGTGACCATATAATGAAACTTTGTAAGACACCAGCCACTGTGCCAGACATTCGACAAGAAGAGAAAGGGAGAAGGAACAAATGTAAGTAAGTCTTTGTTTTCAAATCATCTACAGTCCAAGTGAGTACAATGGATACAGTTTTAAGACCACTTTTGGATGTAATTAGAAAAGCTGTTACAATGTACTGTAAAGGATGACTCTTTAACTTTTGATCCCTGTCAGATGACTTGAACCAGGAGGAGGGGGATTTCTCACATTCAGTTCTTGGTAGAATCTTGATTCTCAAAATGGAAAAGTAACAAAAAACTCAGTCATTTAGGCAAATGAGGAATTTGAATTTTGTTTACTTAAGATTTTTGCTCAGTTAAGAGTTAATTAGAAAAGCCAATCACACGCGGGCTCATCCTCTTGTTAACTGTGGGTTTCAGTGATGTACAGTAAACAAAGAGTCCTGAGTTCAAATGCCAGGGTCATTAGTAACTGGGTGTGGCCTCGGACAAGTCATTTATCTGTTCCTAAACTTTACTTGCTGTGTTAGGCACCTTTCTATTACTGCAACAAACAACTTCTAGGGAGAAAAAATTTGTTACGGTTCATGATTTCAGAGGAGTTTTCACCGATGTTAACTTGGCCCACTGCCTTTGAGCCTATATTGGTGCATTACATCATGGCTGGAGCCTGTGGTAGAGCAAGATGCTCACTGCTAGGGAGCAAGAAAAGATACAGGAAGCAGCCAGGGTCTCAATACCCTCTTCAAGGGCACATGCCCAATGACCTAACTTCCTCCCACTAAGTCCAGGTACTACAAGTTCCCCCACTTCCCAGTAGTGTCACGGTCTGGTGACCAAAGCTTCAGCACATGGGCTTTGAGAAGAATTCAAGGTCCAAGCTATAACACCTACCTATCTGCAAGATGGGGTCACTATGGCACAAGCCTTCCTACTTCTCAGCTTCCTGAAAGATAGGTAGGAGAAGAAATGGGAAGTCCATCTAAAAACTGCTCCATGAAAGGCTCAACTTCTGCAATTAAACATGTACTCATATGCTTTTGAAGATTTTGGGACTACCTGAGAAGCAGCTTCAACCTTATTTCATGTTCTTGATTCTAAATTTTAATACACATAGTACTCATATCAGCCATATGTTTTTTAATGTTGTTCTTGGTTGTTCTAAATTTATGGGTAAAGCCAATATATTTAATGAGAAGCCTTTAATACCTGAGTTATTTAGACAACAGAGAGGACTGCTCTAAAATCCTATGAGAAAAAAAATGTTTACTTTACACTCAATTTTCCAAAGTCATTTTTTCTTTAAATATATTAATTCTAAAAAAATAAACCACCAACAACTGGAAAAGGGCTCTGCATGGAGATATATTTTACCTGAAATATCAGCATGAAGAGATTTTTATGGCTGCTTTAAAATCCTCTTAAATTAAGGGGTTGTAATGGAAAGTCTGACAGGCTCAAATAAGGCAGTTCAAAAATATATTCTTAACACTTAACACATACTATACATGAAATGTATTTTTAACATGCTATATGTTTATTACAGATTAAATACTTAAAAATGGAAAAACAGCCCAAATGTTTCTTAAATATTTGCTTAATATAGTCAGAACACATTGCGAATTGTAAGTGTGAAGAGTACATGTTAAATGTTTAACTAACATCAAATGCAGTAAAATGTTTCATTTGAAATGTTAAGCGGGTGATAAAAATGTCATGTGAGACGACAGATTACAGTTTCACCCAGACTTCTTTTTCATTAAGATGAAATGATGGAGAGACATTTGACTGACTAAAAGTCCTGCCCTTGTGAATTCCATGGTCTGATTTCTACCTGGGTTGTCTCTCTCTTTTCCCAGATGTTTCACAGCCCTGGAAATGTTGAAGTTTTTCAAGATGTCACCTCCTCTTTGAGGCTCTCCCTGACTGTTCTCCAAAATTTTGTTGGAACAACTCTTTCTTACATTATGCAAACTTTCATGCCATGATAGGCCAATATAGTTTCTTTTTAAAAAGTTTTTATTGGCACATTTTGGATATACAAAATGATAGCATTTATCATAGGAAGTTTGTTCCTGTACATGACATATCCTGCTTCTTTTTTCTCCATTTCCCCTCCTGTCCCTTCAACTGCTCTGCCTCTCTTTATTTACAAAAACTTTGTTTCCATTTTTCCTTCGATTCTTTTTTTCCTTGTTCCTTCTGTCCTTTCCTCCTCAGCCCTCCCTCACTCCCCTTCTCATTTGAACATTTTCTTCCCATTATTCAATATCCATTATACATTTTGGCCCTCTTACACTTTTGGTTTGTTATGGTTTGGGGGATATTTTGCAAGGGGGAACAATACAATACAGGATACCTATTTTATATGATTATTTATAATAGTCACCCAAAGAATGATATACAAAGAGTGCAGGAAACCTGTCCATAGACTATAGACTAAGAATCCAGCTGAGGGCCTGGATCCCACACAAATGTCGTGTATGAGGCCAGCTGAGGACCTAGAGCTCATAACAATGCTTCCTAGAAATCCACCTGGAGGCCCAGAGCCCATAACAATATCTCATGCGGGCCTGTTCCATGGATCTGTACTGTGAAGGCCCAAAGGTCAGTGGTGGGATCTAGGAAGTCTGTGCCAGCAGGATGAAGGATCTGTGCTAGCAGGCTGAAGGAGCTGCACTGGAGCCAGAAAGTGATGCTCAGAAGAACCAGAGCTCTCCCCAAAGGTACCACAGCCATCTTCAGCAACAGTGAGGTCCCAAGTTCCTCGATGATCAAGATGGCTGAGTTCCCATCAGGGAAGCCAATGCAGCAATCTTCTCCTGGAGACCGGTGTACCATCTTCCACTCCAGAGCCACAAAGTGATTCTTAAAATTAGGATCAGAGCTCCCCAAAGTGAACCAAAGCCATTTTCAGTGCCAACGAGGTCCCAAGCTTCTCGGAGGATGAAAACAGCCAAGTTCATCAGGAAAGCCAGGATGACAAGCTCCTCTGAAACAACCAACAGCTCCTTACAGTTTCCACCAGCTCTCGACAGCCTTTCTCCACTCCTAACAGCCTAGCCTTTTCTTTCTCCAGTTCTGCCTCTTATGCTGCTGGCAACGATCCCCAGGTGGGCCTCCCACACCCAGCATCACACTTACTCAGCTCAGCTGGGGGTTATACGTTGACCACCAGTTAATCCACTACATGTCAGATACCAGAGAAACCATGCAGTATTTGAATATGTGTGTCTAATTTATTTCACCTGAGAGTATGGTCTCAAGGTGTACCTATTTAGCTAAAAATGTATGAAGCTTATCCTTTATAGCAGAGTATTACTCCATTGTATATTAAAAAAAAATCCACATCTTCTCTTATCCATTCATTGGTTGATGGGCATTTGGGCTGTTTCCAAGATTTGGCTTATACAAACTGCACCACTATAAACACTGGTTTTAATTCTCTTGGGAAGATACCAGAAGGGAAATAGCTGGGTTGAATGGAATCTCTAGTCTAGTTTTTTGAGGAATCTCTACTCTGATTTTTGTAGTGGTTTCACCAGTCTGCACTTCCACCAACAGTGGAGAGGGGTTCCTTTTTCCCCACAGCCCTGCTAGCATTCATTATTGATTGATTTCTTGATAGTAGCCATTATTTCTACAGTAGAATGGAATGTCAGTGTTGTTTTAAATTAAATCTCTCAATTGACTAGTGATGTTGAACATATTTTTATATATTTATTTGTCATTCTATTTCTTCATCTGAGAAGTGTTAATTTATGTCAGATGCCCATTTTTTGATTGGGATTTTAAATTTGGGAGGAACTGATTTTTTTAAGTTCTTTATATATTCTGGATGTTAGTCCTTTATCTGAGGTGTAGCTGGCAAAAATTATTTGCCACACTGTGGGTTGTCTTTTCACTCTGTTGGTGGTTTCTTTAGCCATGCAAAAGTTTTTTAAGAAAATGAGATCCCAGTTGTTGATTCTTGGTGATAGTTCCTGTGTGATTGAGGCTTTGTTCATAAAGACTTTGCCTACACCAATATCTTCAAAAGTTCTACTTGTTGTATCTTCTAGCATATTTAGTGTTTCTGTTTTAATATTGAGATATTTGATCCATTTTTATTTTAGTTTAGTGCATAGTGCAAGATATATGTCTAGTTTTAATCTTCTGCATGTGGAAAGATATTTTTTTCCAGCTCCATTTATTAAAGAGGCTATCTTTCTTCTGGTGAAGGTATTTGGCTCCTTTGTCAAAGATAAGGTGCTTGAAGGTATTTGGAGTTGTTTCTACATCTAATCTGTTCCACTGATCTTTGGGTCTTTTTTTTGCCAGTACTGTGCTGTTTTTATCACAGTAGTTTCATAGTATAATTTCAGTTTAGGGATTGATGTTCCCTGTTCTGGCTTTATTTATTAGAGTTGCTTTTGCCATTCTAGGTCTCTTGTGATGTCAAATGAAATTTAGGATAGTTTTCTCTAAATCTGTGAGATACGCTATTGGAAGTTTGCTCATGATTGCTTAAATCTGTATAACAATTTTGGAAGTATGGCCCTTTTCACCATATTGGTTTTACTTACCCAAGAACGGTGGACATCTTTCTATTTTCTTGTATGCTTTTTGATGTCTTTTTTTTCAGAACACTATAGTTTTCAATGTAAAGGTCTTTTACTTCCTCCTTTAGACTGACTCCAAAGTATTTCTTTTGTTTTGGATGCTATTGTGAAAGGTGTGGTTTGCCAGTTTTTCTCTCAATGAATTTGTTATTTGTGTACAGGAATGCTACTGATGTTTGAGTGTTGACATATCCAGCTATGCTACTGAAATTGATGATTAAATCTAGAAGTCTTTTGGTGGAGTTTTTGTAGTCTTCTATGTAGAATATCATGTCTTCCACAAATAATGATAATTTAACTTCTTCCTTTCCTATCCTTATTCCTTCTATTTCTTTCACTTGTCTAATTACTCTGGCTAATGTTTCCAGAACTATATTGAATAAGAATGGTGACAGTGGACATTTTTGTCTTTTTCCTGATTCTAGAGTGAAAGCTTTCAGTTTTTAATTTCCATATGTTTATGAAATTCTTA